GGCTGATTACCCTCCTAGGAAACAGCTTTTCAAAAAGTAGGAAAAACTCACCTTCGTGGTCTCTTGCTATATGGCGTATCTGTATCACACATATTAAGTAGTCCGGGAATCGTCATCACAGAACATGAAAAGCATTCATTTTGCCTTGGATAGGTTACAAGACAGAAGGACGTATTTTCCAGTTGTGTAGAAAATGCCTAGACTTACGGAATCAGGAAGGATTTGTAAAAAGTGTTGGACTTCACGATGTTCTTCAAAGACTGTGTCTTCACGGCTGGGTCACCAACCTGTGATGATCCTTAGTGGTGGTGGGGGGCCTTTAGAGAGCAGGGCCCAGTCCCAGGAAACTAGCTGTGCCTTTGAAGGGGCTATTGGGGCTCTCTTTCTTTTTAAATATCTGATACCACCAAAAGGACAGTTTCTCCCATCATACACTCCAACCATGATAATAGTACCTAGGGGTCATTGACTGAACTCTCTGAAACCAGAGGCAAGAATAAACCCCTGCTTCCTTTGGATTATCTGTCTTATATTTGTCAGCACGGCAGGAAGCTAACAGTTCCTAAGCTGTGAGCCTCAGTTTGGCATCTTGTGAGCCCCACCCTCCACCATTGACACAGCTGCACAAGGAAATGTGGGGACTATCTTGTCATTAGAAAAGATCTTGCTAACAGAAAAAAAGTCTACAAAGCACCATTAGAATCCAGGTCCACTGGCAGGTTCTGAACACCTCTGTAGACATGTTGGAGAGCACAAACAGCCAGACCCTGCAACACTTGGTGTGACCTGTGTCATGAGCCTGATTTGTAACTCCAGTGTGTGTGTGTGTGTGTGTGTGTGTGTGTGTGTAGACAACTGTTTAAGTGGAACAGTGTACATAGAGAACTCAATGTTGTGTCTGAGTTTAGAATTTTCTAGAACATACTCTTTTACTTTGTGGTGGGGGGCACAGATAATGCATTTGGTATGAAATCTGACATAAATGGAGTTATTGAGAGTCTTTTTGAAGTGGTAATTTTCGGTTTGAATATTGCGGCAGCAGGTGGAGCTAGTAGCAGGAATTCTATTCCTGGGCCATTTAAAAGGCAGCAAGATCTACAAGCCTTACATCACCGTGTTTGCTGCAAAGCTTTAGAATAGTAAATTCTTAGGTGTTCGCTTTGGAAAGCGATTGTAGTATTACAGCAAGAAAGCGGTGCTAAATGCAAACTTAGTCTTCAGAAAAGAGACTTGGTTGAGATGTGTGTGGCCCTGGGAAACAACCTGAGAGCGTGCTGTGGACCATGTGTTTACAGAGTTCTAAGTGTGGCTGTGCCTCAGACCTCCCACTGTTTAAAATTGGAGTATATGACTGTGGGGAAAACAGTATGAAAAGACATGATTATTCATAATAGTGTTATTTGTGTTATTAGATTTTCATTTTAAGTGGTAGTAAACATACAATTTAAATACTTTTTCTATTAAAAACCAAAGGACATTTGCTTTTTATACTATACAGTTGTGAAATGATGACATATATACTTTATAACTCCAAATATGGCTGTGTTATGTGAATATGTAATTAAGAAGACCACAGCATTCATGTGCTCTCTTTCCTTATGAATCACACAGCGACCTATGCCCCTCATTTCTCTGAGTGAGCTGCAGTGATCAGAGCAGACCTTCAGCACGCATGTGTTTCTTTTCTCTCTGAATCCTATTTTTTTTTTTTCTTAAAGTGATAGTTTATTTTACTGGCCATGTAATTTTAAAAAAGACTCACTTTCTGTCATTACTCTCTGGAGTTAAAGATGGTTCAAAACACATATCTTAATGTTTTTGGTTTTTTTGCTCAGGATTAGAAATGATATCTCTATAATCATTCTTATTTATTCAGTACATGTTACTTACCTGGCAAACATGTAATGAATGCTTGTTGCACACAGGCTTCATGCTGAACACTGGGAATGAAGTTTTAAACAGCACATGATCCTTTTCCCTAGCATCTCTCAGCTAAACATGTGGTCAGGCCACTGCCATAGAGCCCAAGCAATTCCTTGAGTGTGTTGTGACCTCTGGACTGCTGGTTGCAGCAAAGGGACTCAGCTGAGCAACATCAGAGAGCCTTTAAAGTGACGGTGATACTTCAGTAGCATCTGGAAGGAGATGTGTGATAAAAATTCACTAGGAGAAGTAAAGCAAAAGGTGCTTTCAGGCAGTATGCTCACATGAGCCAGGGCACTAGGTGCAAAGAGTCTGTGGAGGCAAGAAGCACCAGGATGCTTGCTAGAGGGGCTGGACCACGGGCTGAGGTAAGATGCTGATAGATCTTACAGAATGCGCACCGCCCGTGAAAACATTATTCAGGAATTTCAGCAACTCTGGGTGTGATTTAATTTATTAGCTTTTGGAGTTCATGAAACTAAAGTTATGGATATGATCTTTGGGAACATGCATGGCTAGACTTAATTTCAACCTCAGCTAGCATTTTAAAATATGTTCTCTGGTCACAGGGTGATTAGATGGGAATGGAGCCGCATCAATCTCTGTCCTTAGCAACTACAGGGAAAAAATGCTGCATATGCTAATTCAGTGCAGTGCAGTCTCCCCTCTGCATCCAAAGTTGCCACACTTCAACCAACTACAATGGAAAGTATTTAAAAAAAAAAAACTCCTCTGAACTGAACACCTGTGTAATTTTTCTTCATCATTATTGCCCAAACAATGCAGTCCAATTACATAGTGATTATGTTACATTAGCGACTACAAGTGATCTGGAGATGACTTAAGTTTATAGGAGAGTTGTGTAGGATTACACTCAAAACACTACATCATTTTGTATAAAGGAGTTTTGCATCCTCCAGTTTTGATATCTTCTGAGAGAATCCTGAACATGCATCCTCCTTGGACACCAGTAGACCTGGATGACTGTATTTATTGACTCTCTGCTGGACAATGTAGCTGGGAGATAATGCCTGCTCCCTTAAGAGTAAGGCTTCCTGGGTTATTTTTCCTCTTAGCTGTCTTCAAAGTGTCATACAGTAAACACATCTAAACCACAGCACTTTATCTGTCCCCTGGTCCTGCTTTACCCCCTGGGCCTTTCATCCCTTTAACTGACACCTCACACCACCAGGTACTCAGTACAGAACCTCTGTGTTATATCTGACCTTTCACCTGCCACATCTAACTCATCATCAAGTTGTGCCATTTCTGCTCTAAAGCATGGCCTTCCACCCCTGTCCCTTTCACTGCTCGTTCCCATAGTTGCTTTTACTCCCAATCCCTTTTTACAAAAACAATAACATGAAACGCCTTTCTAAAGTCTAAATCAGATCATATCAATTCTCAATGAAAACCTTCTACTGACTTCCTATCGCAACTTCAGTAATGCCCAGTTATTTCCTACAACCCCCAAGGACTGAGAGGTTAGGCCCTGTGTCCATCGCCAGCTCTGTGTTGTATTTCTTCCTCTCTTTTTGAAGCCGTTCTAGTTGCGTGGTCTTTTGTTTCCTACCCCATGGCCTTGGCATATGCTGTTCCCCTGCCTGGAATGCTCCTCTTCTCATTCTGTAGCCACTACTGTATTTCCATGGTTTGGGTCTTAGCTTAAATATCTCCCTCACTAAGAGCCAGTCTATGCCACAAGGACTCCTGGATCCACTTGTACAACCTTCCACCATCTTCCCCATCATTGCACATGCCGCAGTTTTCAGGGATGTGTGCACTTGCAGTCAAATTGCATAATGGCCACCTCCCATAGTACACTGTTTCCCTGGGAACTGAAATCAGGTTCTTTTGCACCTTCTACCTCCAGCATTTATTATAGTGGCTGGAACATGGTGGGTCTTTAAAAATTGTAAAATAGTCATTTAAAAACCTAAAACTACATGATTTTTTAAAGCTTATAAATCATTAATCTCAAGTAAGAAAAAAAGAAAAATTAAGAAACTTATTTATTTATTTTAATGTGCATTGGTGTTTTTGCCTCAGGTTTTGGATGCTCTGGAGTTACAGACAGTTGTGAGCTTCCATATGGGTGTTGGGAATTGAACCTGGCTCCTCTGAAAGAGCAGCCTGGGCTCTTAACCACTGAGCCATCTCTCTAGCCCCAAGAAAATTGCTTTGGCATCGCAAACTCTTGAAGTTGTTTTGGCAAAGGCATATGGTTCAATGTTATTAGTTATACCGCCCAAACGATAGAGTTACACATACTTATTATATAGTTTGGGACTGTTTTTAAAACAAAATGATAACTTTTTAATGGAAATCCTACATTATGCAAATGAATTGCTTTTTCTATATATTTCAGGCTCAGTTCACTAAAATGTCTAAATTCTTGGCTCCGCTCCTTAAACCTGCTACAAAGATCACATTAGAATTCTTTTTAATAGACACTGTAAGCACAGTACCCAACCTCATAACATCACGCTGGGTTCTTTTATTATGAGAGTCGCGGGAAGCTGAGCCCGAGGCTGCTGAACACGTTGTGGGGTGTATCCAGGCTGGGGATGGTGCCAGCTCTATTGTTTATGTAATATTCTCTCCACCTTTATCTGTGGCATACAATTGGTGTTGACTTTTGAGAAACTACTTCTCTGACCCTATCTCCCAGTTGGGGGACAAAAACCTGCTGAAATGACATCTGGCTAGGGGGAAAAGGTATTAAAGCAGCATACTGGAGGCAAATTATGTGAGTTTCTTTAATAAACGGTTCTGTGCCTGCCTTTTGGACCCATCAGAGGGAGAGTGTTAAACTTTTTCAAGGTCATGGCTCCTCGTTCCCTGAGAAGCTCAGAGAACTTGCATGTCTCTGGTTTTCACCATTGGCTGCTAGGATTGTACTTGCTTAGCATGTAGCACAACACAGTGTCTTTCTGATTGTGTTTATGAGTAAATACCCTTTGTGAAAGATAAAACTGAAATGTTTTGTGATATTTATCACTGTTTGTGTCTGGCTTATTCTCGAAGAGGAATGTAGTCATCTTTGGCAAATTGTTTTTCTCCCCCACAACTTCTAGGCATATCCCTGGAGGGGTTTCTGCATGTCGTACAGAGAAAGAAAGAAGCACAGCTCTATCGGAATGAGATAAGGCACATCTTCACAGCTTTCGACGTGCACTGTAAGTGTCCGTAAAGTACTTTCCTGGAGAATTGCTGCTGAGGAAGTGGGAATGGGAATGTATCCCCAGTGGTGCACTAAACATGGGCCATCCCTACCACACTGTGGCCACAGCTGTTGGTGGGCATCTTTTCCTACGTAGGGATGCTCAGTTTCTGGACCTGCATGAAATATTTATCATTATTAACTGGGTTTGTGTGCTTGCCTATTGTACCAGTATTGTAGTGGGTGATAACCAAAGGACTGACCATATGGGGGGTACAAGCCACAAGCCAGCCATGGGTATGTGGGAGACACTTCTGCAACTCTCACTTTGACCCATACCTGACTGAAAGAATCATTTTCCGTGCTAGATGTGACTTCCAAGATTCACGCACTGGCTACAGTTGTAATTTCCTCTACATATTAATATATAATAAGTCTCATGCCAAGCTGGAAAGCGATGAATTTGGAAGCCTGAAATGTTTTGGCCGATCACAGAGATGCGAAGCCCAGTGCATTGTTACAGTCCTGTCTAAGTAACTCTTTCCCTAGGACTTAGAGACCCGGAAAGTGCAAAGCTGCCAGTGGCCTTTCATTTTATGTAGGACTGCACCAAAGGGCAGGTATCACTGCTACTTTCTGAAATTCTTCCAGGGAGATGTGTTCACTGGGTGTATAATGGCCTATGTAAGATAACTGTAAATTACTGCTTTTTTAAAATTTTAATAATATGTTAAATTTTAACTTCCCATAACAGCTATGACTGAAGTCATAGTTCACAGGGTTTATAGGAGTAAGTGAATGCTTAATATTTTGTTTTCATATAGATCGTGGATTTTTAACTCTAGAAGATTTCAAAAGGGCATTTAGTCGAGTGGCTCCCAAGCTACCAGCGAGGACAGTGCTGGAAGTGTTCAGGTACGGCGCTACGGTTGCTGCATCCATCCGTTTACCCTTGTATTTACCACCTGCTCACAGGGATTTTCACTTTAACAGAGACCGCTTATTTATGCTGACTTTTCACTTTTGGACATTTCCTCTTACAACATAGTTTTATGGTCCAGGAGAGAAATCCGTAGTTAAACTGTGAGTCTAGCTACTTCTTTGGCAGGTGCTTATAAGGAGAGGAGAAGGAGACCTGTGTGAGTTCATGTGTCATGATAAAGCTTTATTGGTATTTGACACAGTCTGCACTGGTCAGCAAGGCACAGTGGTGGCCCCTCATTCATTTGCTTTCCAAGCTGCCGCTGTCAGTTCAGTTGGGGTTTACACCTTAAGTGCATCTCTTCAAAACGAGCAAGTAGCCTCAAGGCAGTGTGTGTTGGGAACCTGCAGACTGTGATGTTAGTGGTGCTAGCTTCAGCGCATGCAAACCTGAGAGAGTAGCCCAGCTGCCTCGCTTGAGCCCATCGTCCACTGTTACCAGGTCTGTTAAATAGTTTAGTCACTAGCAACATCCAGGAAAACCCAAATATTGAAAGATCATAAGAGATATTCTTGCATTCCTTTCCAATAAATGTCGGCAAGCCTAGCCTGAATGATAACAGCATAGTTAGGGTGGCCTGGGTTCTCCACTTCTTGTTCCTCTGGTGCCTTTAACTCCTGGCTGCTACTTGCTCTGGGGCAGCTGTTGAAATTTCAGCCACCTTATCTAAATGCCGGCAGTTGAGAGGATAGGACAGAAGCCCTGACTCTTCTTCTGAGGTTCTATACCAACCCTTACACTCCAGTGACCAACACATAGGTTCAAGACTGCTTGTACCTGCAGGGGAGGGCGAGGGGCTTTGCACAATCTTGTGCCTGCTTCATAGAGGTTCTGATACTGAAGAAGAAAGAGAGGGAATGGGTATTGGGGGACATCTGGCAGAGACTCCCTTTTGGGAGAAAAGTAATTGAATGGAATCTGGCCTGAAGCCAGCCCTGCTCAATAGAAATTATCAAGCAGGTTATTTGAATAAGGATTGTGCGCATTATCATTAACAGTGACATATATGAAATTCATTTGCTGCCTTGCTCACAAACAAGCCATTGAGCAGGCTATTGAAGGGGAACATGTATCCTGATGCATACAAAGTGAATGTGGAGAATGTAGGTGATTTTGTAAAAGCAGGTTCTTAAAGTATATTAACATCTGTTTATGTGCTATCAATGTATTTCTACCTTATAGTGGTAGATTTGGAGAGGAATTAAAAATTCTCAGAGAACTGAAGAAAAATGGATTTTTTTCCTGGTTCCTTAAACCCAGGCCTCTTGTGTGCTGCACAGGTGCCCTATCCCTGAGTTATAAGCCCAGCTCCCTTTTTGTTTTTATTATAGGCAGAACCTCACGGGGTTGTCCATGCTGGCCTGAAACTCATTCTGGGTGTAGCCCAGGCAAGGTTGTAAAATTGTGTTATCCTACCTCAGCCACCCGAGTAGCTGGGATTGCATGTCTGAACCACCAGGCCAAGCTTGGGAAAAATACTTTATTATAGCTCTTTGAGACAGAGACAGTGTTTAACCATGAGCCAAAAAGCTAGCAGCTTCCAGTTCAAACTCTACTCTACCACCTTGTAGACAGCATTTTTGCAAACATGTTTGTAAATAAGACTTTATTTTACAAAATCATGTGTGTTGCCTATTAAACCTCTTTATACCTGTGTTTGATAAGTTGAAAAATGAAATGTCCTGACATGGCTACAAAACATCTTGCAGTTTTTGTAATTTTATTTTTTTTCAAGTGTAACAGTATGTATGGCATACATACTTCCTGAGGAGCTGTTGGTAATGAATGGCAGCTAGGGAAGGGACAGATGTCTGCCTTCAGGAGTGTGGCCACTGGTAATTAATCCCACAGTCATCTCATGCACATTCTTAGACTCAGTGGGTCATTAAAGTCATGAGAGTAAGAAGGGGATGTGCTGGAAGCAGAAGGATTCCAGAGGGAGCGAGAGGGGAATAGAAGAGGGGATGGGGAGTGGATATGGTCAGAATACCTCATATACATGTACAACATTGTCAGAGAATAAATTAAAGTTTATTTTTCTAAAACCGATACCTAAATACATTTTCAAAACCTACATGTGATATCAGAGAAGGTAGATATATATTTCTGAATTTCAGTCAGCAGTAGCAAAAAATATTAATTAAGCAAATTCAAAACTGGCTAAACCTTTTCATTATCAGTGGATGGAACTACAAGCTGATGGTGTCAGGGCCATGATCACCTGCTCTCACTTAGAGCTGTATAATTTAATGAGGTATCCATGATAGCTCTTAGAGCCAAGTCTCGAAACAAATTGAACTTTAAATTACTCAGTCAGAAAGGATTAAGTGAAGATGTTCCAAAATAATAAAGTAAATTAAACCACATTGTTATTAAATATTATGAATAATTTCTAGTGATAGCGCAGTTCTTTGCCATTAATAATAAAATCTACATATTAAATCACTTAGCTATTTTCTATTATATTTTTATGATAACATAATAATACAGTAGCACATGCTGTAAATGCATATACTTCTACTGTAGATTTTATGCTATCAAATTGTGTGCTATTTACTAGTGTTGTATGTCCAAAGCAATTTGGAGACCACCATAGTATATAGCCAAAGCAAGGCATACCAATTGGTTGAGCCTGACTTGTTAGTCCATTATATTGGGCTGGAAAATGACTCAGCAGTTATGGTTGTTTGCTGTTCTTGCAGAGGCAGCACACACACTGGGTGATTCACAGCCACCTGTAGCCTCAGCTCCAGAGGATCTGACACTGTCCTGGTTCCAAGGAAACCTCAATACACGTGCATATACACATAAAAGTGAATTCTTTTAAAAATAAGTTTATTATAAACACCATCATCTATAAACTAAAAATAAAAGAATATGACCATAAACAATTACTGGATTCAAAGGGGAAAGAAAAATATTTCCTCTCTGGGCAGATTGAAATAGACCAAAGAAATGGAGTTGTCTGAGACACCGTAAGCAAAAGCATCCCCGTGTCAGTGCTCCAAATGGTTTTCAGGCACAGGAAAATGAAAGTGAGCTGCTTGGACTGTTCACAATGTACAATGCTGTGACTTTTCCAAGAGAGAAAGTGGAGGAATTTCAACAGGTAAGAGTTCCTTGTGCATTGAATGACTTGAGGGGCGGGAATCAATCTTTCAATCTAATGGCTACTGGGTTCTTCCTGGAGAAATTTCTAGAGACCAAGAGTAGCCATTTTCCGAAGTGGCTGCCCTTCTCATACTCTCATTCTGTAAACCAAATCAGACTACAGTGTAAAGCCAAATAAGCAAATGACAGAAGCCAAACCTCCTTGGACATGATGCAGCAAAGAGTTACTTTGACTTCTAACTTGATAAGAACACTGGCATGTTCATGGGAAATTCAGAGTGCTGCAAGAACAAAACAGGATTTTTATAATGTTGGCAAATAGTTGGCCATTCTGTTGATGTTAGTGATTGTAGCATAAGTAAAAGCCATGTAGATTTCAATAGATATGTTTATTTCTAAAATTCACATTCTGGTTATTCTGTAGCGATTACCACTTCCTTTACTGTCATGTTAGTCTTACAGTTGGATGGATTCAAAGCTCATCTCTGAGTCATGTTCTATAGCTTTTGCTTCTAAGGATTGCAAGAACCATTTTTCCGATTGCCTTTTATATTCAGAAATACTTACCCAGAACATTGTAACTGAATAAAATTATATAGTGGGTCAATGCTAAAATTTTTATAGTAAACTTCTTTTTCTTTGAAATGCTAGTTTATTCTTATGTTGGAAGTCCTTTTTAAAGTTTTTTGTTTTAATTTTTTGTAGGCATGTGTGTCTATGTGAGGGTTTATGCTGTGAGTGCATTTGTCTACAGAGGCCAGTAGAGGCATTAGGCTCCCTGGAGCTGGAGTTTCAGACAGTTGCAAACTGCCTGACATTGGTGCAGGGTACTGAATTCGGGTCCTTTGCAAGAGCTGTGTGTGTTCTTGACAGCTGAGTCTTCTTACTGTGTCTCCTCATACGTTTCCTGTGATGTCTGTTTTCATCTGTGACCTGGCCATTGTGACCTTTTATTTTCTCATTAGTTTTCTTCTTCTCTTTCTTTGTTGAGCTGTATCTGTTGTCCTCTTTGTGACTCTGCTGTACTGTTACTTTACAGTATCTCCTCGATGCCGTTTATGTATATTTTCAGTCTTGTTGTAGAGATATGTTTGCTTTACCGGGGCAGCAGTAATTAGAGATTTTATTGTTAGGCAGGATATGATGACACTCACCTATAATCTCAGCATTTGGGAGGCCAACACAGGAGGTTCAAGAGTTCAACACTTGCCTCAACCAGATAATGAGTCCTGTCCTAGCCTGGATGACCCTGTTTCAAAACAAATAGAAACGTGGGGTTTGGGGGGGGGGACTGCTTTCAATATTTGAAACTTGGCAGCTTTTCTTTCCTCTTGGAGCTGGTAGTTATACTTTGTGTATTTATGTGTTAAAGTCACCGAGGCTGCATCCAAGATAATGTTGTATTCAGAAGTTCTCAGTTAATTCTTTTCTTGATCTCTCTCACACACAGTAAAAAGTGACGAGAGTTGTGATGAGTTGACTAGCATCGTGTGTTACTGTGGAGTAGAAGTCACTTCCCAGGCTGCTTCAGACACTTGGGGATCAAAACAAGCATCACGTTTCCTCTTAAACACTAATCGAAACTACTGGAAACTTCACAGTACTGTCTTCTTTATGTTCAAAAAGATCTTTGTGAGTCTACTGAGTACAGTTAAAACTCTTTAACCTAGCTCTTCAGCATCTGGCCCCCTTTCCAACATCTGGTTCCTTTCCAGGCTTGGCTTTCACTTGTCTTGAATTTCTATTTTCCTGGCATGCTGTTTGTGCTGTTGATTGTGTGATGTGCATTCTCAGTTCATTCTCCTTCCCTTGCATGGCACGG